TACTAAGGGAATATGTATTTTTTCGTCCATCATGAATAACACAAGGATCATACTGCCAAGGGCGACCCAACAACAAATGACAAGCATCCATAGACACAATATCACACCAAGCGTTATCAAAATATTTTTTGCCGATCGAAAAGGATACTAGACACCTCATTTCGACGTTACCTCGTTGCTTTTATTCAATTACGAAAATTTATATAGTCTGGGATGACGATCCGTCTTCAACTGCAGTTTCTGGACAACATCTTCGGACACTACATTCTCACAACTCCCATTGTTGATAATTAGCTTACAGACTTTATCTACAATTGTGCAGGTCGTGTGGAAAATATTGGATCTCAACCAGTTGTCTCCTGAATCGCCCTTAGGGATCAATAAACTCTTGCGAACAACCAAGATCTCATGCCTATCTCCATACAACACATCGTCAACTTCATCATCGCCATACACGAGTTTTCCAAATTCCTTAGTTTCATCTACTACATCCTCCTGAATCAGAAGATTTTTACCCTTCGACTAGCTGGTTTCCTGCAATCAGTTGACCTATGTCCCTGTTCACCACATCTGAAGCACTTGATATTTGAACCAGAAATCTCCCCATAGTGGCTGTAGACCAGGATAGAATGCTGGGGGACGAACTGGTTGGTTACTTTCGTTCCGGATTACCGGCCTACTATTCTGCTATTTTTCCACCGCCAGTGTACGTTGGTATGCCTCAGAAACGGTCAACAACGAGTGAAGGCTGAGGTCATCCTGTATGGGTTGTTGTAATTTCCCAAAATACCGTGCCACCATATGCTCTTCTATCTCAGATAAGTCATTTTGGGCTAACAACTAATAGAACTCCTCCGTATAATCTTCAACTGATCGCATGCCTTACTTCAGGAAGTGGAGCAGCTAAAACAAGGTTTGGGTGTAGCCAAAAGGAATGAAGTGACATTTCATCTTCTTCTTCATATTCTCTCAATCAGTGATCTTGGTCTTGCTCTGTCTGTCCCGTGAGCGCCTCAATTGTTCCCACCATGTAGACAATTTACCCTTCAGTTTAATGGCGACTAGTTTCACTTTGATACAATCTGGGACCTCCTTAAACTCGAAGATACGCTCCACTTCGTTCAACCAATCAACAAATCCTTCGGCCAGCAATGTACCGAAAAACTCAGGCAGATCCACTCTGAAGCCTAAGTCTCCATGGCGATCCTCACAACCACGGTGCTCCCTGAATTTAGCACGATGGTGATATGGATTATCGAAACTGGAATCAGATTCGTGACCCCACACTTCACCGAAATCCTGCGCCGCTTGACGATGAGTTACCTCCTGAACTAGCCTCTG